AATAAAGAACACTTAGTTAATATATATATATATATATATATATATATATCTAAAACATGTCATATTAAAAATAAAAAAAGAATTAGTAGCATAATTCAAATGCAATCTTAAATTGTCATTATATACAATTTTAAAAATTCTAATAAAACAAAAAAGTATATATAAATAGTTCTAATCTAATGCCTATCATCCTAATAAAAAATTGCAAAAATTATATATTTTAACTTTTTATGGAACTAAAATAATAACATTTAATGAATGTAGTATTTAAGTAATGTAGTATTTAAAAAAACATTTTACTACCGTTAAATTGAGAAGTTTTGTAGTCATATTTCCTCTTTTTCTTGTTCACAACAACCCCATCAACGAATGAGCGCGTACTGCGAAGAAAACTCCTTGATACTACGAAGTTGTCCGAGCGTAGCTGCCACATGCGCCCCACCTCGCGGAATGATGATTCCATGGTAACCGGGGTGGGTTCGCAGATCACAACAGACGACGTTCGTTCGTTCATTCGAAGAGACTGTGTAGTTCAAGAAAAGCGTGTTCTATCATTGCCGGTGTTTCTCGTTTTTTTTTTTGCATATTTGTATATTGTGTTCAATTATCTTTCATTTGATAAAATATTTTAAAAGCTATCAGTGAAATTTTTTATATATATGCAAATCAAGTGAAACGCAAACAAAACAATAGAATAATATCTATCCTACGGTCGTTGGAAAAGAGAAACTTCATTGTCAAGTGTTGGGGTCGCATTCGCGACCCAGACATCAACCGAGGTTAGTGCGCGCTCAAAATTTAAATTAATTTATTATGAACAAGATTACTTCTTCATCATTAAGAATGAAATCATTAAATAATCTAGATTTAGAACAAATAAATTTACCGTCGGATAGATACGCATGATTGAAAAGAACTTGTTCAATATAAAATTCGTAAAATGTTAAATACTATTTTTAAATATTTTATTTTAATATCTTTTAATATAAATTATTATTTTCCAAATATTATATTTCATTAAATCATTAAGATATACTTGTATCATATCTATTTTATCGAAGTAAACTGAGCAAAAAAATATTCATAATATAATATATATATATATTTAAATATGAAATTGTTGAAAGTATAATTATAAATATAAAATTCATAACGAAAAAAATAATAGTTTTTATAATATCGCATACATATTCTTGACGTAATATCGAATCTCATGAAAAGGAAAGTATGTAACATAGTGGAAACTTGAATTTCGCAAAAGCGACGAGTTCGTTTAATTGCGTCACTTAGTCATGGCCGAACGGATGCATGTAACTTAATTCCTTATATGTGCGTTTGACACAATAAAAATGATAGATATCAAAAATATAATAAAATAATATAAAAATCCTCAATATATATACATATATATATGTATATATATATATATATATATATATATATTTTTAGAATATAACAGCCAAAGTCCCACGATATTGTGAATTAATCGATTATCAGTACAGCATGAAATTTTCCACAGTACATGATTTTTATCCACATGACTGCGTATATCCAAAAACAAATAGAAAAAGGGAACACAAATATAAAAGCAACATTTTTTTTTTTTTACTTAATGTAAATCATGTTTTCGTCCTTTCATGAAATATAAATTTGTAAATAGATAATTTTTTGTACAATGTATAAGTTATCGTACAATGAATGAAACTGTTGTACAACGGGTGTTTACTGTACTGTTTCTAATTACCAGAACCACAATTCACTTTTTTATCGATCATTTTTAGCTCCGTGAATTCATCTAGTGCGTTCACCAATAACCGGCAACTACATTTGCGGTACTTAACGAGCTGATTCGCGTTACATCAATCAATCAACTTATTTGAATTATATACTACATATAAATTGTATACAGTTTCATTTCGATAAAACAATTCAAATTGTGTTTAATATAGTAAAATTTTTAAGACAATTGTAAATATTAAGAATAAAATAATTGTATCTTACATTATTGATATAATTTAAAATGTTATTATTATATCATGCTTACGATCTTCGGCCTTGAATAAGCTATATGTTTAAAACAGATGTAGTGATGAAAATATGTCCCTCCTACTGTTTTGAAGGACGCAATGTAAATTTACTCTTTCTGTTTATTTTTTTATTTTATTATATAATAAAATATTTAAAGATTAATTTTAAAAATATAATATATAATATATTTATATATTTTTATATTTTTTATATATTTTTATATATTTTATTATATTTTTATTATATTCTATACGACATCTTATAGAATATATATAATCATGACATGAGAAATCAATATTCAAAAACGACCATTATAAATGACCAAACAGGAATATTTTTCAAAAGTTGTATTTAACAGATGAACGCGTGACCTTTGTGGATAGAGCATAATCCATCTCGTAACTGTCGTGTGAGCACGTGCGCATTTCGTTGTATTCGACATGTTCGTTTATACACACACATAAAACTGAATACATCGATCGAAGGGCAGGTGGTGGGTATATTCTCAGACAAGATGCTCAGTTTAACAAGAAGGTTCGTGCCGGTTGCACAGCTGTCGGTGTGACAGCTGCATCTTTTGAAGTAAAAAAGAAAAACGTTAAGGAAATCGAGAAGTGGAAAGAAGAAGGGAGCTCTCGATTTGAAGTCGTTTTGACAATTCGTTATTTTCAAAATATTAAAGAATATATTAAAAAAAAATAAGTCAGAATAAAATTTGATTGATTTAACATATAATTGAATTTGAATATATAATATTTTGTAAGGAATAAATATTTTAGTTTCGTAAACTTACTTTTGTAAATATATCTATATACAGAATGAAATATATAATTTATTATAAAAAGAAAGGTTAGTTTTATTTTTAAATTATTTTATAATAATGATAAAAATTTAATACTTCGAATTATTGAAACATGACAAATCAATATAGAATAGTTTATTTTTGCATGACGAAATTTCTTTAGTTTCGTAAATTTAATAATACTGCTATAAAGTAATAAACCGCTATGAAGAAAGAGATTTCACTCTGAAATCGTTTGATAAAGATAATAATAATTTATTTTTTGAATTATTAGATGAATCAAAAAAAAACATAAATAATAAGAATTTCAATTGTTTTAAACATTATTAAGTTTATTATAATTGAATAATATTAATAACCAAATATTTTCTCTGATCCGTAATCTGATTATCGATATCTTAATTACGAATGAATTATTATACTATATTTAAATATTTATTGATTTAATAATGATAAAATATAACTCATTAAATAAATTAATATATTAAATATGATTTAAATTATATCATATAATCTCATTTTAAGCAGAAAAATATGATAATATTTTCGTATTTATATTTCAGTATTGAACTTTTCTCTATTTCATTCAATATTTCTTATTCTAATCTGCTATATATTTAAAAAACGAGTGAACTGAAGAGAATTGATAATCAATCATTTCTAGTATATCTTTGTTGATAATAAATGTGTACCGGACTTAAACTAATGACTAATAAGCGAGAAGTATTGAAAATATTGACTTAATTGCATTACTAAAGAGGTTAGAAATTGAAAAATAATAATAAAAGATAAAAAAAAATTTTATCAATAATATCAATAATAAATACAAATAAATTATTTTTTCGAATAAATATTAAAAAATCTTTGATTAATTTTTTTTATATGATCATTTTTAATTAATAAAATTTTTTAATTTTTAGATTTGATCAATGACAAAAATTTTTCTAAATTCAAATTTATTTAATACAACACAATTGCCTGCATTTTAAATTTCATTTTCAAATAAGTATGGCATGCAAATATAACGTGTGTAAATTTTTAACATTAAAAAATTATATATATTAGAAAGTATAAATTATTAATTATATCCTTAAAAGTATTGCGATAATACAAAGTAGATAAGTAATTAAAGTAATGACAAATTTCTAACCTATTTCAACTATATTATAATGTATTTTATAATGTATTTATAATTTTTATAATTTTGTATTTGTATTTTATAATTTTTTCATAAAATAGTTGTCTTTATTCTATTTATATTAGTTTTCTTGGAAATAAAAATATAAAAGTTCTTAAACATTAAAAAAAATTTTAATAATTATAATTTTTAAAAGATAGAATATAATAATAATATATCATAAAATAATAACTTTATAAGTTTAATTTAAATTAATGTTAATTATTTTAATATAAATTTTTTTTTTTAAGAATCATATACTATTTGTTTTTCTAAATAATCTCGATTATATATCGTATCATTAAATTAACAGTTCATATATGCATTAGTCATTCGTGACTCATCATGATAGACGTAAGTTTATCGTACGTTTAATACTTAAGTAAAACAAGAAAACGGAATTATAGAAAATCCATGGAATTGTTAATTTCATATAGATAAAAATCAGAATAAAATCTTAATTCATTTTATAAATCTACTATCAAAAACTCTTTATTAAATTTCATTCGATATATTATATATATTATTTCTTATTTTTTTGCAATCGAATTTTCTTAGATTGGAATAAAATTCAAAAAACAATATATATATTAATTTATAGCAATATTTTGTTTAAATGTATATGTGTAAAATAAATAGAATTTGAAATCTGGAAAATTATTAGAATATAGTTTCCTTTCCTTTCCAGAGTAACATTTAAATAAAAGAAAGTAGATCATTTTAGAAAATATATTCCAATTATAGAAATCTTGTAATAAAAACAAAATATTTTAAAAATTTGTTGAAATTAATATTATATATTTCATAATCATCTAATTAGCCTGCATAATATTGATATTGTAATTAATTGAGAAATATTAAGAATAGCAATTAAGAAATAGTTATGAACGAAAGTTCTTTAGGCGATCACTTATTTTTACTTTTTTTATGATCTTTCTTAACGCGACATTAATTAAAATTTTTTTCATCTGAAATTTAATATTTTATAATATTTTATATATATTTATATAATATTATATTAACAACTTTTGTGTTTTAATTTTAAAATTTTTCAAATAAAAAAAATTGATTTGCTATAATAATTTGCTATAATCATTTATTTTTTTATATAATATGTGAACGACCTCTATGAGATCGATCTGAATCTTTTAATGATAAATCGAAACATTGGATCGAATCACGTATAGAGATGATTTCATTATTTCGATAAGTCGAATGTGTTTAAAAGCGATTTTAACGTTCTCAATTAGTATAAGTGAATACTCTTTTTATAAGTTAAAATCTTTAAAGGTTTGCTTCAAGATTAAATCAAGATTTGTTTAAATATTCAAATATTTAACCAATATTGATTGTATCAAGATTATTCTATCACGCATTTATTTTATTTACAATATTACATCGACAAACGAGAATGAGAGTCTCTGGCTTGCCTTGACGCTCCTTACAAATCGATCCAACTTCCATATGGCTATACCTTTTCGATGTGTATATATATATATGCGTTTGTACACATATATAAGATTATGCCTTGCGACAACAAACTACAACGCACTTTACGTTCCATTTCCAGTGTATCGAGTTTGACCTCAGTTACTGACATAAATTGCACGAATGAGGGAGTATATGTGCTTCAACCTATTTAATCCTTCACCCGCCAATTTTTCTTACTTTCTTTTTTACATATATTCATATAAATTTTGTAATAATAATATAATTTATTCTGCAATAAATAAGTGGAGCTTAACAGTGAAAATTTTAAAAATAATTAAAATCGGAATATTTTATTTGAGTAACTTTTATAATTGTTGAATTAAATCTGAACGTCTTCATTTAATAATGAATTTTATTTTTATTAGAGACATTTATTAAGATTAGAGATTATTAAGATTAATTATTAGAGATATTTTCAATCAATTTAAAATATAATTAATTATATTATATATTTATTAAATAAAATCATGCATTATAATTTAAATTCATGTTCAAAAATATATAAATTTTTGAAATTTTAAGAACTTTTTAAATCATATCATGCATATGTATACAATATTTAATCAGAAATATATAATTGCATTTGATTCGCATTTCATTTTTATAATATTATCATCTCTTTAAAAAATTTTATCTCTTTCACAGTATTCAATGACACGGAATGTATGTTAATATAATTTTTATAATAAAATAATAATTGAAATGATAATAATGTTTCTATAAATTTTTTTAATTACAAAATTTCATTTTTATTATTATTAATTAAAAATTTACAATAAAAATAAGAATATTTTAGCATTTATCATTATAAATCATTTGTATATAATATAATTTTATTATTTTTATAATTTAATAAAGAATAAATTAATTTTTATATCATATTTTCTATATATATTGTAAAATACATTAAATATATTTTTTCAGGTGGCGTGGGGTACGGCAGTAATGGAATTGCAGAGCTGGCTGCTCTATCATCTTGTAGCCGTAACCGACTGCAATCAAGGTACACAAATGTTAACTGTATGATGCTCTGATTCGTTCCCACGAATAAGAACACAAACACGAACGCATTTGCACGACACGCAACATCATTCTATGTTGCTCATTTAATTTCTTAACATAATATTGTTTCATACATGTATATTTTGCGCCAAATTATATTGATTCGTTTTACATCCTTGCTTATTTTAGTTACTTTTGCCTGAGTTTCGACTGTGCTCACAGAACACTTCTTTATTTCATTCATAATCCCGTTATCGCCTAGAGGAAACAGCAGTCTACCAATGTTTGATGGTAAGTTCTGATCACACGCACATTATATATACTATTATTTTCATAATATTTATGTTAATATATTAATAAAACATCTTATTTTATATTAATTTAATCAGAATAAATATATTAAAATATTTTTAAAAAAATTCTAATAAAAAATCTATAAATTAAAGTTTATATTATAGATACATATTGATATATATTATATATTAATATATAATGTTAATATAATGTGAATGTGAATGTTAATATAATTTTCTATCTATTTCTTATCGTTTATTTTTTATGTATAATATGAACATGATAAAGTTCTTTTTTAAATTCCATATTATTAATGCTTGTAATCGAGAATTTTTTATTTACAAGAGTTTTTCTTTACAAATTTCCAGTATTTACTAATTGCAAATTTATAATCTTATTTCATGATAATTATGAATAAATAATTTTTGATAAATCTATGCGTATATAAAATCTTATGACTTTTTAAATACTTACATATTATATTCACAATTTTAAATACTTACATTATAGTATTGTAATATACAGCAATTAGCTTTATTAACTTTTCTAATGTACATTGTACAAAAAATTCATCCAACAAAAGAACCATTATTCAACCCCATGCTTGCCAAGCAGATGGTACAACGCTTGCAATTTTTTCTCCAGTGATGCAGTCGGCGACTACATTGAACGGGGGATCTTATCCCGCCGGAGGCACCGGAAGTCGCGCTCGTGATTTAGGTCTTCGAGCGCAAAAAAAACTTCTCGGTAGAGTTGTATCTACAGGAGCAGGAAGATCACTGTTGATAGATGATGCTACTACATCACTTCTGGATAATCTTTATAAACTTATGGAAAGAGCTGCAAAAACTAATCCTAGTTTAGACAAGAAGCAGCCTGAAAAGGTTTTAAAGAATATTGTTAAATTGTCTATTAAGGTATGTGTCCTTCTCTTGATACTTGTGATATAGATGCGATTTTTTGAACAAGATTTTGTCAAATATGTCTATTTCGTTTAATACATCCATTCTAGGTGGGTCTTCTACAACGTAATCAACAATTAAACGTCACTGATGACGCAAAACTCGCCGAAATAAGAACTGCCCTTAGAGCTGTAGCCATGTCTGTAGTTTCGTTTTATGAATTAGAATTCAGTTTCGATAGGGCATATTTAATAAAATCATTAGAGCGATGCAGAACTGCAATACAAACATTTATAAAACCACATCTTACAGACAAATCTCAAGATCGATGTGATCAAGTGTTCGATTTCTTAACGCATTCCGATTTTTTGGATTCCGTTTTTAGGCAAGATTCGGAACACAGACCTATCCTTGGAATGCTAGTTAGTGATATAAATAAGGCCTTAGATGCTGGGCATCTTTGATTTTTTTATTATAAAAACGCGACTGAATTTTCGCAATCAATGGGGAGCATGAACGAAAATTATATTTACTGAAAGATAATTAGGAGAAGATAATAACTTTCTTCCCTAATTATTTTTTAAGAAAAAAAAAAAAAAAAAAAAAAAAAAAAAAAAAAAAACCAAAAAAAGAAATCCAATGTATGTGTGATATCAATTATTTACAATCGCCTGTATAATAAAAAATGATAAATATGTTTTTGATATGAGAGGGGATGGTTTTAAAATATGATGTTTCCCGTGAAAATCGATCGATTTCACAGTAGTGCTCACCAATTTATGCAATAATTGTGAAATACTCTATTTATTTTCAGAATGTATATTGTTATGATCAGTATATTTATTTACAATACTTATGCGTTAGAATACCAATTGTCAATCTATAACCAAA